ATTTAAAACCAAACTTATTGACACACATTCATAAAATAGTAGTTCAATAAAATCTGAATGTGAGTCAACACATGTAATGACATGGCCTTTGACCTGTGTCGGTGGGGTTAAAACCACTTAAATGTAAATCAATATTTAGAAGCACTGTTGTTAAAGTTTATTACAAAATACAAATAATAACAGTTAATACATTTGGGAAACAAATGATAAAGCAGTAAAAGAGCACTTACAATCTGTTTTTCAGAATACTTATTGGAGCTGAGAAGATTGACAGCTTCCATGTGGCCAAAGTCAATATCATGACCCAGAAGGAAGATAAAAAGTAGTTTGCAAACATACTTCTTCTTCTGATATCCATCAAGAGTTTTGTCACCTATTAAAATATTAATCATAACATATTTTATGATTATACATTTTATACAACTTTTATACATTTCCTAATTAAACATTTTTAACTTGCCTATTTTCATAGCATACTGAATGCTACATTCAAGAAATAAAAATAATAAACACAGAGAAAGTCAATAAATGATGTCAACAATACTTGGTGATTTTAGGAGTCAGGAACTTTACTGGATCATATATTGTAAAACAATGGTGTTCAATAACATCTTTGATCAAAGAGCTCAATAAAGTGTGTGTGTGTGTTTCAAATGACCACAGCCATATTATGACATACAGGTGATAACAGTATCCAATGCATTATATATATATATATATATATACGATTACACAATTCAAAATGATTAATGTCTCCTCTTTCTCTTCATTTATGCTGGTTGTTTAGTAATAATAGACAGACAGATGTATTCTTAAAGTACATCAGTATTATTCTCAAACTGACATCCAGATAACATGTTGGAAGCAGTAATAGATTTGTAATATTCCTTGAAAGAACAGCATTCAGAGGTTTGCAAAAATAAATTTATTATATTTTTTTAAATGCAGTCTTTTATGAAGTGCGATACATGTACTATCACTAGAGTTAGGCAATTACCTGAATACCATGATCATCAATTATATTGACTTGTGTCATGTAAAATTTGTGTTTCAGACAATTAATGTTTTCAAATATTTCAATTATCCAAGTAATTGAAACACTACCATTATGATTTCTTCTTATTATTATTTTTGATTAATTCAAGGTTGTTCAGTTAATCAGCATCACATCTCATAAAAATAAGCAACTAATTATAATTAGTGTTTCCAATCATTACTATTTGCTATTATTACAGATATCCAAATCTCATGTGAGAATAACTAGTAAGTTGAATGTAATTGGTAGAAGAGCCCAATAATTAACCGGTAATCAAATTCCACTAATCATCCAGCCCTAACTATCACCATTATAGTTTTAACAACTGAAAACCAGTTCTTGTAGTTATTGTTGAAGGGCTCAGAACTGTCACTGTTTGCACAGTTGGTTAGGATTCAACATTTTAAAATTAAGATGCAGATATATAATTAATATAACAGATATTGATAAGGCAAAAGGCAAAAAGTACTTTGATCACTAAATACACTGTCATATATTGTATAGGAACTTTAGGTTTCAATTTTAAAAACTTCTAATAAAAGGTTAAAAGGGCTATTCATACTGCTCCAGCCAGTCACTTCATTATTTTCAATGTCAGTATTAAACAACATACTTCTTAAAAATAAATAAACCAAATTTTCATTACAGGTGAAATTCATTGTTGGGCAGTAAAATTGTTATTATTAACAACATTATTTTTTAGTAATGTCCAAAATAATGACACTACTTTTCAAATTTATAACATTCTTGGTAATGTCATTAAAAAGTTTTAATCCAAATAGTGCATTATTCGTTACTAGTTATTTTTTAAATTGGCTAATATTATAGCCTACTAAGATGCTTAAAGATATAAAATAAGTAATAACTATTAGTAGTTAAAACTATCTGGTTAAAACATTAATAATAATTAATAAACTAATTAAAATAACTATAAATATAATAATAAATAAATAGCAGTAATATTGGAACAACAGCAGAGGAATGAAGTATTGCACACATATTTCTACTGAAACAAGTTTTATCCTGTTGAAGCATGTTTTAGTTGGTTGTTGTGTATTTTTGTCAGTTATCTGTAAACTATCAGAGTGGGAGGTTATATGCAGCACTAAGTCATACAAAAGTGGCAAAGGTTCAAGTAAAACTCCATGTAATCTATAGCCATATCTCAAAAAATACTTTAAGTTTACTGAAAGAAGTAGTGGTTATAACTTATCATATGAGTGCTTGCTTTGCCTGCCTTTAAAGAAAACATTCAGTGTGAACAGTAAATCTGTAAGCAACTTAAACTTATGTCCATAAAACATTTTTCTATTCCTAAGGAATTTGAGTCTACAGTGAAACAAGGTGTGGCACAAAATAAACAAACAGTGAATGCAAATGAAGGTAATGATAACATGCCTAAAAGTCTTGCAGATGATCATCAAGAGAAAAAACAACAGCTTCTAATGTTTGGGCAAAGCTCCCGAGTGTCTCAACAAAAGATAAATGGGCTAATATTGGACTTCGTGGTTTCAGAGTTTTTGTCATTTAGAGTTGTCGAGCCCACATACTTTAGAAATTTAACTTCATTACTACAGCTAACAAGAATAGTCATTTCTCGAATAACATTAATGAGCCAAATAAGGAAAAAATTAGCCTTCTCAAATACCAGCTAGCAGTAGTCAAGAATGCTGCTATGACTAACTGCTGGAGTTGCATAAACAGGTAATTAAATAATAAATATTCTCACATTTTTTAAACTATACAATGTTAGAGGTTTGTTTTTGCACCTGACTTGGGAATATTGATATTTTATTAGATTGTCATCATATTTATTAGTTATTTTTCCAATATTGGAGTTAACCTGTTTTGCCATTAAAAGCACGTTCGGAAACTGACAGACTATTATTTTATTTCAGAGGCTATTTAGGAGTCACTGTGCACTGGATAAAGGAGGATATGCTGGAACCAAAGCATGCAGTTATTGCCTGCCATCATATAAAAGGACATCATACCAATGATCTCAAAGGCACCAGAAGCATTACACATTGAATACTGCATCCAGAACAAAATTGTCAAAGACTTCGTGTTAGTGGCATATTTTATAGTTACGTGAATTTGCCAATATATTTAAATTACTGCACAAATACAATTCCAAGCAACAGCTCTTAGTCAGCTGAGCCATAACTGTGTTTTCCATGGAAACACTGATTGCTAATGCTCTGATACTGCATCCAGAATAAAATTTTCAAGACTACAATAGAAAAAGGCAGCAACATCGTCAAGGCTTTTAGGTTAGTGGCATATTTTAAAGTTATGTGACCCTGCCAATATATTCAAATTACTGCATACATACAATTCCAAGCAACAGCCCTTAGTCAGGTGAGCCATAACTGTGGTTTTCCATGGAAACATTTATTGCTGATACAACGATATGGAAACAAATTGCTGCATGTATACCAAGATTGTTAAAAAATGGGACTTTAAAATTAAAAAGGGCAACCTTGACATTTGCTTCCTTTCAAAATGCAAGTTCCAACATCACTCCAAAGTTTCTCCACCTTAAACTATCAAACCAAAATCTGTCAGCTTATCGGATTTGTCAAAAGAGACTGTCGGATCTGAAACCTCAACACAACAGACAGCTTACTGAAAAGTTCAACATGTACACTACTGACCTTTAAAGCATCATTAGCAGTTTTGGTTACACCCATCTACCAAACAAGTGGAGCCAAAGCAATGATAAAAAAATTTCCAAACTTGAACATGTCCAAAATTTGAAGCTGAGTAGATTGACTAACAGCTTTTCTTCCAACTTTGATCCTGACAACCTGATTGTTAACCTAAGTAATCCATCACTAAATAATCAGTGTAAATCCACCTTAGCTAAAGGTCTTAATAACTCTCTTCCACCATGCATTCACTTACCCTTTCAAATTACTATACAGAAACCTAAAAGACCTTCCTGTGTATGATAAAGGAACTCTTTATCAATCCAGTGATTATTTCATGACGAAAATAAAAACTCTGCTTTTTCTACTTTTTATAATTTTAATAATAAGAGATATCCTAACCTCCTAAGCCCTGAAAAAATCTCAGCCTTAAAAGAATGATCACTAAAAAAATATTCATGTTACACGGCCAAACAAAGGCAATTCCATTGTTATTCTTCATGAAAATGACTACTTGAACAAAATGAAATTTATTCTTGAATACTCTACCAAATTGACCCTTTATCTCTTACCATTGAATGTGAGGATAAAATCTGAAGATATCTGAGAGAACTTAAAAACAAAAATATCATATCCGAAAATGTTATGTCATTGTAATCAACAAGCTCCCACCCTAGTATTTTATATGGTCTTCCTAAAATTCACAAAGCAGGCATCCCTCTCCAACCAATTCTTTTGGCCTTAGGCACGTATACTTACAAACTTGTGAAATTCCTATACCTATACTACAGCCACTCACTACCAATGCATTCACTATTCCTGATTCTTTCCAGTTTGCATGTGAATTAAGTCAACTACTACCCTCCAAAAACCACTTTCTGGTTAGCTTTGATATTATGCCCCTCTTTACAACATACCTATAAATGAAACCATTGACATTTGCATATCTGACTTCCACGTAACCTCTGCTGAACCTCAAACTAAGACCATATTGGATCTCACAATCAAGAATTCACATTTCCTATTCAATAACACCCTTTTTGAACAAATGGATGGCATAGCAATGGGCTCCCTGCTGGGTTCAACGTTAGCTAATATATTTCTCTCATATCACAAACAGAAATGACTCAACACCCACTGACTTCAGACCTATCCTTTACATAAGGTATGTAGATGACACTTTTATTTTCTTTCACAATAAGGATCACTGCTCAAAATTTTTAGAATACCTGAACTCACAATATCCTGTCATTAAATTCATTTGTGAGATTGAAAATAATAATAATTTACCTTTTTTTAGACATCCTCATTAACCGTAACACTAGTAGATTTAGTACATCAATATACAGAAAAAAATACATTTACTGGACTCCTTATACAATTTTACAGTTGTATCCTGATCATGTACAAAATAAATCTTGTAAGATGCTTATTAATCAGAGCTTATAACCTGTGTTCCATGTACCTTAATTTACATTCAGAAATTTCTCTCATACAGGATACACTAAAAATGTACTGGCTACCCACAATATTTATTACAAAAGTTACTAATACCTTTCAAACTGAGAAACTCACAAGTCTACCCAGACTACTAACTGTACTGAAACTTACCATATACTCTTGTTTTTCATACATTCGTCAACAAAGCCTAACTTTAAAAAGTCAAATTAAAAGCACAATTCATCATTACTAACCCAAGTTGATTTCAGATTAGTTTTTAAACCCACATAATGCATACAGAATTTTTTCCATGCTAAAGACCTTCTCCCAATTTCCTTTTGTTCATGGCTTGTATATGTGATGACTATAAAGTCTCCTATATTGGCAAAACCAAATGCCATCTACTAGTTAGAGCCAATCAACATATGGGAATTTCCATGAAAACACAAAAAAGTTGAGTAAATCCTGTCCTTCCTCGATATGCCAACATAGTGAAGAAAGAGGACACAAAATTAACTTATCAAATTTCAATATCCTTTGCAAGGCAAACACTGATCTGTAATTACTGATTAAAGAAACTTTCCACATCAAAGAACTTTCACCAACACTGAATAACATGCAGTCTTCTTTTAAATTGCACATTTTTTAATATGTACAGTATTTCTGTTTGTTACTCCTTCGCTTTCTATGTGTTTCAGTTTTGATTAAGTTATTATTATTGCAGCAATGTATTTTAGTTACTTAGGAATGATGTAATTCTTTTATCTTGCTTTAGATACTGAAGATGGAATCCATAGAATTCTGAAACATTTATCTGTGTCCTCTTCTTATAACAGAAGAGGACACAGATAAATGTTTCAGAATAATGATACTTAAGATAAACAACATTCTTTATTTATAACAATAAAGAATGTTGTTTATCTTAAGTATCATTATTCTGAAACTCAGAACAAATCAATTGCTAAATGATGGAAAAAAATGAAATAATTGGAGGAGA